CAGCTCTAACTTCTTCAGCTCTCAGAGAAATTCCCAAGTCCTTCATATCTCGATGAACGCGCAGCTGACTCGTGAAACAATTGTTTTCTAACATTTTCAACGCAGTGGTTTAAATGTTGAACAAAGAGATTGAAATCCCTTTGCTACGCTTCAATGCCTACAAACACGTCATCAGCGTGCAAAATGTAATGGGAATGTAAAGCACGTACACAAATTTACCAGCTATGCAACAATTAATGCATGCAATATTATTTTTTGGAAGTGAAACCCAACTAGGTGGTGATATCTGCGACAGAATACAAAGCTCTGTGAAATAGAAAATTACTTATTTACTAGTCAGAGTTGTTCCTTGATCTATTACATGCACTTCAAGTTTCAATTGGCATCATCCAATACTGCTCCGATTCAGTAAATAGGTGTTTGAAATGGTCTAACTTCTGAATCAGGACGTATTTCAAAGTGCTACTATAGAGAATATTAGCTGATGACTGTACAGTTCCTCATGATCAATCATGAATCATGTTAAACCAAAACTTGATTCAGTTTAGGCACCTGCACTTTTCTCATTACTTCTGGTATCTGGAAATAGTACAGACGCAGATATTTTTTATTCTAGATGAATAAAGAGCTACTATTTTATTCAGAAGTGACGAACTTGAAAACCTTAGGTTTTTATGATTCAGGATGGACACACTGTGGTGTCATCTCTCTAAGATTTCAAAAAATTACAAGGTTGAAGAAGTCGATGAGAAAGTTCTTCCTTTCTGCTGTCATTATACATTTACTGTAAATTAGTTTTCAAGAGAAGAACTTAAGTCTAACTGATACGTTTGTCTATTCTCATCAACGTTTGCTGAATATTGTATCGATATTGTAAGGCCGAATTACATATTGATCTCGTTGCGGTTGCAAAGGGTCAAGAGAGACTGAGACGTTGTGTCAGTCAGCATGTGAGAACGAGTTGAATGGACCAAGCGTTTTCTTTTCTCACTGTTAAACTGAGGCCTTACCTTACCTCTCCATTCAGAATAACAAGCAAACATCAGCTGATCTCAGTGTAATGATTGGACGAGACGATAACCCGTTTAAAAAAGGCTATAAGTTTTGTTCAGTTGTACCGATTGCTAAATCACGCTAAATATTCACTTTTTATCCCTTTGCAGATTGAAGATTCGTGATGTTAGCCATCAGGAAAAAACTGGTCATTGTAGGTGATGGTGCTTGCGGGAAAACCTGCCTTCTGCTGGTGTTTTCCAAAGATGAATTTCCCGACACGCATGTACCAACAGTTTTTGAAAACTATGTAGCTGATATGAAAGTTGATGGGAAAATGATAGAGTTAGCGTTATGGGATACAGCCGGACAAGAAGATTACGACAGGTTACGGCCACTGTCTTATCCCGATACTGATGTTATCCTGATGTGCTTTTCTGTCGATAATCCCGATAGTTTTGAGAACATCCCTGAAAAATGGACTCCTGAAGTAAGACATTTCTGCCCAAACGTACCAATCATTTTGGTCGGTAACAAGAAAGATTTAAGACACGACGACAAGGTGAAGGAAGAGCTATCAAGTAAACCAGCGCGTGTAACGAGCGAAGAAGGATGTCTTATGTGTGAAAGGATCAAAGCCCATGCTTACATAGAATGTTCTGCGAAAACGAGAGAGGGAGTCAGAGATGTGTTTGAAACGGCCGCTAAGGCTGCACTGAAATCTAGGCGTGACAAGCCTCACCATTGGTTTAAATGTCGTATGCTGTGGGCAGTAGTCCGGCCAGGATGTATTCGTGAAACTGAATTACTATTGAGATCATAATCTGCCCCGGCAAAGAAACAAATAAAACAGCGATTTGCCTATCGAGGTGGGCAAACTGAATTTAGGTTTTCCTGTTCATTTAAAATACCTATTTGTATTTATCTCATGAAGTAAAAGAATGAATACAACAGCAACGAATATGTACAATTCAGTGACAATTCACTGAATCGAAGATGCCCCTTTCTGAATTTTTTTTTTTTTTAAAATAATTATGTCTTTATTGTGTATTTTGTCAATAATAATCCAAACTGATTTTGAAGTATGCATCTTATATACAACCTTTCATTATACAGCGATTATTTTAAAAACTTACGGATAATGTATTATTGGGATATTGTTGTTATTTACGGGATTTAAATCTTTGGGAATTCATTGCTTACAGTATGCTCCGTGTTTGTTTTTATTTGAAAGTAATTGTAAGAATAAGCAGGTTTCCAATTATAGTCACACATCAAGACAAAGCTGAAGATAATAACAAGCTTCAAAACTACAACATAACTCAACTTGAAAATCGTTCATATTGTATTTTATACATCATAGACTCCCTTTTGTATCGCCACGCAACGTTAAGACCAGTTATGATATCCTAAACTGAGATACAATAGATTACTTACTACCGTTCCAACCCCTTGATCTTTCCACATCATGGGCTGCACTTCTCTTCCAACATGGAACTTCTAGTACTCATATTAAAAAACTGCGTTCTTCTGTAAATATGTTGGTCACGTGCATTCTCTGTAGTGTCCAGTCCTAGCACGGTCAGGCTGACCTTTGAGCGAAGATTCCCCAAGGAAGCCAGTTTGCGCGAACTTTCTTCAATAGTACTAGCTACGTACTAGAAGTTTCCATGTGAAAGTGAGTGCTGGCGAGGTGAAAGCGATCAATTTGGAATAGAGGAATTCGAAAATAAGTAGAATATTAGATCACTTCAATAGATCAAGGGTAGCCCCTTATTAAAAACTTCGGGCTCATGCTTGGAGGGTCAAATGATGGGAGCTGTTCATTTCCTTATTAACGTCGTTTCAAGTATTGCCGACACTATAAGGGCGCTTTCCATTTGTCAGAACTGACCGGTCAGATTGTTCCCGTCGCGATGATAATTTTACTTTAAATCAAAACTTTCCTGCAACATCAGTCAAATAAAATCCTAAATTTTATGCGCGATGGAGATAGTTTTTCATCTAAACCTTCTGGAGAAAACCTATTTCTTCGTCAAACTGACTGGTCGGGCAATGGTCAGGCCTGCCAGTTCTGACAAATGGAAAGCGCCCTTTAAGATTGTGGTAACTTTTAGGCGTGTTTTTAGAATATTTCTACGAGTATCTTGCCATGTTTTAGGGGAGCAGTGTGAAGGGTGTGAATGATTTTTGGGAGAAGAAGAAGCATTCTGCTGGCTCCTGTCATTTTGTCAGACGGTCTTAACAGCTTGCTGGACTTCATGTTGTTTGTTGTGCTGTTGCTTCTATCGCAGCTGATCTTGTCGAAGCTCACCTCTTGTCGTCCTCGAGATTCATCACCAAAGTGATCATGACCTTGAAAAATTTTCACCCAGGCGTGTAAAAACAATGAAAAAGTCCTCTTCTTTTAACCCTTCAAACTTTTCAACTGCTCCAACCGAACAGCAGCAACATGTGCATTGTGGATTAATTGCGTATATAAAAAATCATTCAAGGTGACGTCAGGTAAAGAAAAAAGACATTGGGCATGCGCTGAATTGGTCATCCAAGAATTCGAGAATTTTCACTGCTTATGTTATGTAACAACAGAGCTGACTCTCAAGTAGTGTGTTGGCTAGCCAGCAATCATAACAGTTCGTTCAGCAGAGATTGGAGAGGAGGTTGGCAAGGGAAAAGGCAAATTTAGAGCCCACTTACTACTTTCATGTAGTTAAGAAGGTTTTCCATATTCAACGATCGCTACCAAAAAAGGGAGTAATCGTGATTACGACTTGACCACTAATGGGTTTCTCCAAGAACGCTAAGATCTCATGAAAATTCTCGTACAAATACCGTGTAAACGTAAAAAGTATTTGTTAAAGAACTATAAACTAGACGGCCACTGAGAGACAGATTTCAATTAGAAACGTCATTGAATATGAAAGGCGAATCAGTGGAAGAGAACACTAGAGTTTCTTGTTTAGACAGTAAATCCTTTTTTTTTTTGCTTTTTGTTTACGCTCTTCCGTATCTACCACACTGTAATTTTCAGGGAGTTATAATAACTCCTCTAGTGGGGCTAGTTTAACTCCTTACAGTGGAGTTATTTTTCGTGGAGTTACTTTAACTCCAAAAGGGAGTTTAAAGAACTCTTTTTCAGGAGTAAAAGTGACCCCAGATATTGAGGAGTTAAAATAACCCCAAAAAAGGAGTTATCCTGTACCTAAAATTTTTACTCCACTTTCAGAGTTAAATTAACTCCAAAATGAGTAAAAATGACCCCAAATTCGGAGTTAAATTAGGAGTTAAAATAACCCCAAAAAAGGGGTTATCCTGTACCTAAAATTTTTACTCCATTTTTGGAGTTATAATAACTCCCTAAAAATTACGGTGCACATATGTGTCATTTATGCAGTAGAATTAAATTCATGTGGCTTTTTCCACTTCGCCACCTGTAGTTGTTAGCGGAGTAATTCGGGTTAGTTAATTTGCCCATTCCTGAATTACTTATTTGTCTATTTGCGCCGCATGTTTCTTTGTTCTGAAGTGAAGGCAAAATGTAAACCTCTATGTCAAAAGAAAGCTGGTAAAATTTATGCCTTCCTTCCCTGAGCCTTCGATCAGCTGCCCCGTCAACATGTCAGTTATGTACATAACGGAATGCACTGCCTGAGCTTGTTTACTGGGCACATTATATAGGAGAAAAACACCATATAAAGTAAAATGGCATACGACGGCCCGAAGCCAGCTTTATTTAAATTCAAAGCTTCTATAATGTATGAAGAATATTAATATACAATCAATATAAGCCCAGCAAAGGCAAGGGGACAAAAAGGAACCCAAACCTTGCAAGTTTGACAGTAATACCTGCTTCGATGTCAGACAAAGGTTCAACCTCTATAGGAGGTATTATTAAAATGCACCATCCTTGACTCCTATTTCGAATTCGAAAAAAAAGGCATAAAAGTCCTATTCGTTAGGAAATATTTCATCTATGCCTAGCTTCTTATGGTTAAATAAAGGACAACTTCAATGATTTTCAAAAATACAAATCAAGCAAAGTTAACGATGCGTGTAAAATTATATATACATCTATTTCGAGAAAGGTTGTCGGCAAAGATGTGCACGCGACGATCCCAAAAGGTAACATGGGATAAGATTAATAAACTATTCAAGACACTGTAGCTGTCAAAACTTCTTTTGTTGCTTTCCTTTAGCACGCGCAAACATACGTCAAGAGCCATTGCATACGTCCATGGCCTCTCGTGCCATTCTTTTAAATTTCTTTGAAGAACAGCGAACTCAAAACCACTTTTTCCGATAACCTTTCTCGAAATAGTTGTAAATACCAAAAAGATCCTGAGACTGCAAATGAAAAATAAAATCTTTTATATAAACAGTCATTATTATTCACAAAATACTCAAATCCCGTTTCACACTCTTGTTACACGATGTCTTATAATTGATGCAGCCACACTATCAAGTTGTACTACAGGTGCCTGGAGCACATCTATTAGATATGAAATTGTCTTTCCTTGGCTTCCTAACTTTTCAAGTAACAGCTTTGTCGGACTTCCGTTTGGCCTCTGATACTCAGTCTTGTAGAACTTAAGCTCATGACCTGAGATTCCTGCCGCGTTTCCCACTTTTACCCAGCCATACTCATTGTTGCCAGATCTGCTGTGTGGTACATCCAACCTCTTTACCAAAATATCTTCTAGGTCTGGGGGAATTTCACCTAAGTTGAGGTCTAGGAAGAAACATATTTCGTTTATGTCGAGGCCTTTTATTCTAGTCGTTAGAGCCGAAATGCTTACAGGCAATTTAACATAGCTAACCGATATATGAGTTGGTTAATTTTAGAGGACATTAAGCTTCACTGACTATTATAGATTGTTTTCACTCATGTGGCCAGCATCTATGCAAACTTATTGAAACAAAAGAAATCTTTTGCATAAAAAGGGAGTTCAACTCTCACAGGATTGGTTTGGTACACCAACGTGGCCGCCATTTCATTGTTTTGGAACACCAATATGGCCGCCGTGACGTCATGTGAAAACGCTCTATTTTCCTTTGAAATTGAGCCGTGAACGAACGAATTAGAACGTAACACTTTTTTGTTTGACTAGTAAGAAAATACTAAAAAAGTAGCTAGAAAGTATTTGTATTTAGACTTTTATAAGGCTTTGAATCTCACCATCCTTAATCTGGCCATTTTCATCCGCCTGCTCAAAAGTGGTTTCTTCTGTTAAGCTTAACCTCTCGTCTTGGTTAGATTCCTCATCAAACTGATCATCTGTCATTTGTGATAAATGTAACATGGTTCGTACAACTTACTTCAGACAAACAATTTCAAGGACTTTTCAAGGATTTTTCAAGGACAAATTACAGTGAGTTTTCAAGGCCTAATATTTATGTAAATAATCGGCATTCTTTAACCCCCTTTTTGATCACTTATTGGCTAAAACATGTCACGGAGTCATTTACGATTTTTACTTCTGTGGCCATTGGTGATCACATTATTTTATCCTACTTTCCGCAACAACACTTTCCAAAATGACTAGGTATGACTTACAGTTGCATCTGAGGTACAGAACAGCATTTGGAATAAAGAATCAGAAATAAAACATTGTTCATGCACAGGATGGGGTGGTGCGGATCCGCACAATTTCGCTCGTAGTAAGAAACGTTTGAGAACGTTTTTCGCGACGACCCTGGGAACTAGTTTTGTTTTTACTCAGATTGCCATTGGATAGAATCATAAGCATTTTAGCCAATGGCAATAATTGTTAAGAAACCGGCTTTGTTGACTGAAGTTCACGGGAAAACTAGAACGCTTTTTCTTGTTTTCTTTGCTACGGCATTCTAGTGTTCTTTATAAGCCACGTAATTACATAAAATACCTTTAACACTTAAGTGGCCCAATACCCACTTTTATAATAAAGAATTAT